CGAGGAAACGACGAAGGAAATGAGGAAACGACGAAGGAAACGAGGAAATGATGGAAGGAAATGACGGAAGGAAACGAGGAAACGACGGAAGGAAACGACGGAAGGAAACGACGGAAGGAAATGAGGAAACGACAAAGGAAACGAGGAAATGAGGAAGGAAACGACAAAACGACGAAGGAAATGACGAAACGAGAAAACGACGAAGGAAATGACGAAGGAAATGAGGAAACGAGGAAGGAAACAAGGAAACGACGAAGGAAACGAGTAAACGACAAAAGGAAACGAGGAAATGGCGGAAGGAAACGACGAAGGCAAGGAGGAAACGACGGAAGGAAACGACGGAAGGAAATGAGGAAACGAGGAAGGAAATGAGGAAACGATGAAGGAAATGAGGAATTGACGAAGGAAACGAGGAAACGACAAAAGGAAACGAGGAAATGGCAGAAGGAAATGACTGAAGGAAACGAGGAAACGACAAAGGAAATGAGGAAACGACGGAAGGAAACGATGAAGGAAATGAGGAAGGAAACGAGGAAACGAGGTAAGGATGAAAGAAAAGAGGAAACGACGAAGGAAACGACGAAGGAAACGACGAAGGAAACGAGGAAACTATGAAGGAAGGAAACTAGGAAACGAGGTTGTAAGGAAACGAGGAAACGAGGAAGGAAATGACGAAGGAAATGAGGAAACGAGGAAGGAAATGAGGAAACGATGAAGGAAACGAGGAAACGACGAAGGAAACGAGGAAACAACAAAAGGAAACGAGGAAATGGCGGAAGGAAACGACGAAGGCAACGAGGAAACGACGGAAGGAAACGACGGAAGGAAATGAGGAAACGATGAAGGAAATGAGGAAACGACAAAAGGAAACGAGGAAACGACGGAAGGAAACGATGAAGGAAATGAGGAAGGAAACGAGGAAGCGAGGAAACGAGGAAAGGATGAAAGAAAAGAGGAAACGACGAAGGAAACGACGAAGGAAACGAGGAAACTATGAAGGAAGGAAACTAGGAAACGAGGTTGTAAGGAAACGAGGAAACGAGGAAGGAAATGAGGAAATGAGGGAGGAAGGAAACGAGGAAACGATGAAGGAAACGAGGGAGGAAGGAAGGAAACGAGGAACTGATGAAGGAAACAAGGAAGGAAACGAGGAAACCACGAAGGAAACGAGGAAACGACGAAGGAAACGAGGAAGGAAATAGGAAAACAATGAAACGATTTAGGAAACGAGAAAAGGAAACGAGGAAATGAGGAAGGAAACGAGGAAACGACGAAGGAAACGAGGAAATGATGGAAGGAAATGACGGAAGGAAACGAGGAAACGACAAAGGAAACGAGGAAACGACGGAAGGAAACGACGGAAGGAAACGACGGAAGGAAATGAGGTAACGACAAAGGAAACGACGAAACGACGAAGGAAATGACGAAACGAGGAAATGACGAAACGAGGAAACGACGAAGGAAACGACGAAGGAAACGACAAAGGAAACGACAAAGGAAACGACGATGGAAACGACGAAGGAAACGACGGAAGGAAACAACGGAAGGAAACAACGGAAGGAAACGAGGAAACAACGGAAGGAAACGACAAAGGAAACAAGGAAACGACGAAGGAAACGAGGAAGTGACGAAGGAAGCGACGAAGGAAACGAGGAAACGATGGAAGAAACGAGGAAGGAAAGGAGGAAGGAAGGAAGGAAGGAAGGAAAGGAGGGAGGAAGGAGGAAGGAAGGAAGGAAAGGAGGAAGGAAGGAAGGAAACAAGGAAGGAAAAGAGAAAACGAGGAAGGAAACGAGGAAATGAAGAAGGAAGGAAAGGAGGAAGGAAGGAAGGAAGGAAAGAAACGAGCTCTGCACCAGCTGAGTGAAGCGAGGGTGCACAGGAGGACTCGCTGTTGCACTTCTTCAAAATTTAAAGCATCAGTCAACAATTGTCTTATGAATATGGAAAAAAATATATGCATGTCACTTCGGCGTATAAGTTGCAGGACTGACAAACCTATGCACAAAAACTGACTTATACGCCGGAAAATACGGTATATAGCAATGAGTCACGTTATCTCTTGGATTTGAATCGGTACATTTTGCATCCAATAAAAACAAAGATGTTGACAAATAAACTGGACAATATTCTGGCAATTTAGTGATATTTCCACAGTTGTGGTCGTGACTTATCTTGAAATAAAATCCCGAGTCTTCAATGTCCGAGACCGAGACAAGACCGAGAACAAATGTGGTCGAGTCCCAGACGAGACCATCAAAAAGTGGTCTTGAGACCGGTCTCAAGACCAAGACCGGTCTCAAGACCAAGACCGGTCTCAAGAGCAGGACTGGGCACACTTCAGACAGTATTTGTAGCAGAGCTGTAGGAGCATATACATTTAGGTGTTCACAGAGAACTGTGCTGCAGAATTTTATATTGTTTTGTTGTTTTGTTACAATGTGCTCTTTTAACTTCATGCTTGAGTCACAAGACTGATCATCTGATTATGTTCAGACACTGAAAAGATGAAGTTTAAATCTACATTTGTTTAGTTCTACCTTATGGATATTACACAACTGTGTTTTCAATGTTAACATTTATTTGAAGCTACATAATAACATGACCAATAACATCATAGCAATTATTAAAGGAATAGTCCAATCAAGTTTGCAGTGAGGTTCTGTCTAATAGTTATCAGCCTGACAGCACAGACAAGCCCTGACTGTGACATCAGTCATGGAGACCAGAGGATGGAGAAAGAGGCAAAAGTCTTAGTCCAGGCTAGGCTTTTATGGGTCTAAACATTAAGAAATTAAAAAGTTTTTAGTCTACACATTGTCTGGTGAAACTTGTAACACATCTGATTGAAACTTGTTTACATTTTTGTTTAATTTTGTCTTAATTCTTTAGGGAGTTATTTGTGTCTACTTTTTTAGGGTGTCATTTGTTGATTGTGAGGAGGAAACGGGAAAATATACGAATTTCACCACACGTGTTATCACTGTTTGTGACAAACTTCTCGTGTCTTGTAACTGACGTTGGCCTCTTCTGCTTTAACCAGGTAGATGGTTTGGTCAAACAAAAGAGAAACAAGAACACAAATATTTAAAAAAATGACTAAATTGTCTCTACAAGACTTTTTTGTTGGAAGTTGATCTAATATGGTAATATAAGAACGATATTTAGTCCAATTTAAACGTGTGTCTTAAACACTCATTGTTACTTTACCTTCATGGCCTAAACATCTTAATTCATGCAGACACACCATGATGGATCATTGTTGTGCAGCACCTGACCTCACCGGTGCAAAGCCTCGTTGTCCCAAGCTCATTAGCGGCTGCTGGTGCACACTGTGAGGCTAATTGGTTAAGGTTTTACATAATCGTTGTTAGACCCTCAGTGGAGTACTCTTGCAGCTGTCTGAACACATGTAAAGATTATGAACTCCCTCCAAAGAATATCAGAAATGTGGACTTGACTAAATGCTCAACTGTACTGTATCTGCAAAATTCATACATTTGGTGTTTTGTGTCAGTCTGTTTGTAATCTATTAATTAGTTGGTAACACTTTACAATAAGGTACACCAATTTGATTAACTACTAGGGAACACCTGAGGAACGAATCAGGAATGAATCAGGAGCTAATGGGTAGTTAACCAGTACTTACTGGGGAACACATCGCCAAGCCTTATTAGGGGACTACTGGTTTGTTACCACAGGAACAAACCGGTAGGTAATAGTCAGGTAGTGATTAAGTAATGATTGGTTCCTCAGTAAGTGCTTGGTATGATGCTTTAATACACCAGTGAACAAAATAATAGTTGGGCAATTATTTGATGCTCAGTAAGTGATAGTCAGACATAGTTAAGCTGACACTAGTACAAGATTATGAAACTGAAGATGTCTTTCATCAGTAGGTTTACAAAAGCGAAAATCCAGCAGTAACTATTAGGAAACAGCAAAAAAGGTTGAATCATGTCATCTGGACTTCGTTTTTTTTGTTAAAAAGAAACGTTTCGCCCCTCATCCAAGAGGCTTCGTCAGTCTTTTTAACAAAAAAAAAACGAAGTCCAGATGACATGATTCAACCTTTTTTGTTGTTATATACCTGGATGACTGAGAAAACAAACTTTGTGTTTTTGAAACCATTAGTGAAAAGGCCAGACTTCAGGGGTATCTGAGGCAGGCTTGAAACGCAAGAGTCAGGGTGGCTTCTGGGTAATACCAGATGGCTAGGCCTCAGACTGACGAAGCCTCTTGGATGAGGGGCGAAACGTTTCTTTTTAACAAAAAAAAACGAAGTCCAGATGACATGATTCAACCTTATTTGTTGTTATATACCTGGATGACTGAGAAAACAAACTTTGTATTAGGAAACAGATTTTTGATAGTTACGAGCTGTGACCTCACCGGTGCAGGATTTATTCAGAACCCAGAGGATTTCTCCTCTGTTTCTGTGGTAACAAACCAGTAGTCCCCTAATACGGTTTGGCTGTGTGTTCACCAGTTACTACTGGTTAACTACCCATTAGCTCCTGATTTGTTCGTCTTTGGTTTCCTTGGTAACTACCCATTAGTTATTGATTAATTCCTCTTCATTTACAAGGTAACAAACCAGTAGTCCCCTAATAAGGCTTGGCTGTGTGTTCCCCAGTAAGTACTGGTTAACTACCCATTAGCTCCTGATTCGTTCCTGACGCCTGCCCCAGTAGTAAATCAAATTTTGTGTACCTTATTGTAAAGTGTTACCAATTATTTTTCTGTGTTGAAATAAGGTCACCGGTAGGTTAATTAGAACTGCAGGAGGAAAGCACAGCCCCACACTGAACAAACGTGTAAATGAGCAGAAACACCTTCTGGTATCTTAATTAAAGCTAATCTCAAGACTGCTGTTAATTACTCAGACTGTCAGAGAAGTGTTGAGTACATTAGATCTGAACCTTGCACATCCTTTACACATGCATTCTCCATAGTCTTTGTCTTGACCTGTCTTTTTTTATTATTTTTATCCTTTTTAGGGCACACTTTTAACCTGAGGGTCCAAGTAAATGACATGCAGAGTCGCCAGCCCCTGAGCCAGGCACTAGTAGAGCTCTTTGTCAACTACACCAAGAACAGCACGGCTTTAAGCGGGGAAGACGGTGGTGCTTTGCTTCATGTACCGTACCACTCAGGGCTGCCTATCACAGTTGTAGCCAGCAAGATTGGCTTCGTTTCCACACTGCTGCCTTATAAAACCAACAGAATCCCAGGTAAGTGATTGATCTTATAAGATGTAGTTAATGCGAACATAAAACAAAGGCAGTACCTTCTGCATCTACGTGTGCATTGTTTTCAACTTGGTATGGTTCAAACACAGTTTGGATGTCTGGTGCTTTGGGAAGGAAGCTGTCTGGCTGCAGAATGGAAGGATTTGAGGAGGGTGATGAAAACGGTTAAGAAGGTCATCAAGACACTCCTCCCATTCATCCAGGACATTAATCTCAGACACTGTCTGAACAGAGCCACTAAAATAAAAAGAGACGACTCACACCCACAACATGGACTCTTTGTTGACCTCAGACAGGCGGAACTGCAGCTTGAGGACAAGAACCACAAGGTTCTGCAACAGTTTCATCCCATGAGCTTTTAGACTGCTGCACTCAGGTCACTAATGAAGTGACCAGCACACACACACACAGCCACAGCCAGTGTCTATAAAACAAGTTCTATAAAATGCATTAAAATTATGCACTCCTATACTGCTGTGGAGAAATGACATGAAATTTCATTAAATTTTTCATGGTGCACTGTACAATTTTGAATGACAAAGTTTATATTTATCTATTTATTTATTATTATGGATGTCAAAGTTTATTTATTTATCTTTATTTAACCAGGCAAATCCAACTGAGATCACAAGTCTCTTTTGCAAGGGAGGCCTGGGCCTGAAGGCAACCTAACATGCATGTTTTTGGTCTGTGGGAGAAAACCGGAGTACCCGGAGAAAACCCACGCAAGCACAAGAAGAACATACAAACTCGACACAAAAAAAAAAACAGGTCCAACTGGGGATTAAACACAGGACCTTCTTGCTGTGAGGCAACAGTGCTAACCACTGATCCATTGTGCTGTCTGCTGTCTTTGCGCCTAATTCGAGGACAGCACCCAGATAATTCAAGGTTCTTTATTGTCATCACATCACACGTGGTACATGAGTTGGAACAAAATTGTTTTCTCAAGGTCTCAGTTACACCCAAAAATATCAAAAATTAAAAGTATAAAAAGACACGGTATACAAGGATCTAAGGTATATGCTAAACAATAATAATGTGAAGTAATGTAGTGTATTAAACAGCAGCCTGAACATGAGTCTATTGTGAGCAGATGGGTATGAGTATATAATTCTGTTTACGATGTGTTTGTCAGCAATGCGCAGTACTTTTCATTTTGTGCTTACATTTCAGAAAGCAGTGCAGTATAGTGTCATGTCTGAGCTCTTGAAACTTAAATAACTTCTCTTTACTGTCCGTACCTGGTGAAGTACAAGAGGTGACAGAAGTGAAATCCACACTGCCATCTAGTGGCAGAATACTAAAACTTCAAGCACTTGTGTTAATTTTGCATCTCCCCTCTTCTTTAATATTTAGTAATATTTGTGAGTGTGTTATTGCTGCAGTGTTTTCATCCCTGACTGCATCTCTGCATGGTCTGAACCAAGGGAACATCTGGCTCTTTGATGATTCCGTGCTGATCACTGGCAAAACAGCTGGTACTGTAAATGATTATTATTTTATCGAGGCAATAGTTTAAAATAATAATTGTTAAATGTAACAGAAATTGTTTTTTTTTTTTTGTATTTTTTCCATTTGAAGAGGCTTCTTCCCAGCCCATTGTGCGGTTTCCTCAGAGCCTGCTGAACCTGACACACAGCAGGACCGTCTCCTCTGTTAAAGCCTTCGTGACCGTTCCCAGATGGACACCAACACAGGACGACTCTCGAAACACTCTGGGCATCATGAACAATAAATCAGGTGTAATATTTAGGTTGCAATAACATTACATTTAGTCCTACAGTGTTTCTAAAATCATGACCTTAATGTGTTTAAACTTCAAATATTATGCTTCAAACTGAGTAGAGCAAAGTCGGTAAACAAAAATCACTTATTACTGTCAAAGTACTGTAACACTTATACAGCATAACTTTAAAAAATAATAGGGAATTGTGTCCAAAAGTCTTGATCCATGTCTCAGTTCTTTAGATTTTCCATCCAAGCAACCAGACTTTGTTAAAATTATTCAGCATAAACCTTTTGCAAAGACATACATTATAATTCACAGGTTTTAATTGTTTTAAATACAGTATATTTTAAAAATAGGACAGTTTAAAACACATTAAAAAAGTATTTTTTCTGATACCTAAAGAGTTATTAGTTAAAATAGTGGCATAGAGATGTAAACGCATTCTGCAGAAACCTGAGAGGTGCATCACCTTTCATCACGTTTTCAGCTGATAGCTCTTTGGTCACCTTGCTGGAAGAAAAGTTCTGCTTTCTGTCAAACTGTGTCTTTGATGGAACTGAAGAAAATGGGACAAACTGATGGTAACAAAGAACCCACATTTAAAGTTGATTCTTTGCTTAGTCGTCTGAGGTGTCGACGCTGAATTAATTTCAGTTTAAGAATCTTTTTTTATGCAAGAAGAATTCTAACAAACTGAAAAAAAAAAATATATATATATATACTGAAAATTGACCATAAAAAGGATTTAATTACAAATATAATAAATAAATAAAATGTAAATGATCAAAGTAAGACCTCCAACCATCTGGAGAAGTAATAAAGAACTTGTAATGCCTGGGTTGTTGAAAGGAATACATTTTTTAAAAAAGACAGCTGCTTAGACTCTTGCTCAGTATTTATTGTAATATTTTCTTATCATTTCCAGGTTTTGTCAGTGTAGCGTTAAGCCCAGTGGCAGCTGTCAGTGTGCAGCTTTTCTCAGGAGACACGGAGCTTCATGTAAACGGGCCGATCCAGATCAGCCTGGGTGTTCCTGACAGCTGTGGACTTCAGGCTGCCGACGTTGTTCCTGTGTGGTTCTTCAACCAGACTGCCGGTGAGTTGCAAACATCCTATGATCAGCATCAGCTCAGCCTGACACTTGGATTAACCTGCTAACCTGATGGGATGAGAGCTACAGCACGTTTATAAAAAAATTAAATGGTATATCATTCAGAAAATAAATTACAGACGTGTTTCTAGCAGCGCTATAGATGGAGTGCTGATCAGTGACTAAAACCTTTACGCAGCTTCAGGAACAAATAAAATGTTGGATGTAACTCGTTCTTTGTGTTTTTCTTGCTTTCTGTTTGACAAGTTCTTGAATATTTTGTGTTTCTGACCAACTTTGTTGATGTGTTTATGCTACGCTGATGATTGCCAAATTTATGTGCCTTTAAGGCGAGTTGATGCTTGGTCCATTAAACCTCTTTTATCGTGTCTCGAAGATCTTAAAGCTTGGATGGCCCTAAACTTCCTGCATTTTAATGAAAAAAAGAGGTACTTGCTTTTGGATCTAGTGGAGCATGTTCGAGCCCTCCATTTGACTTAGACCCCCTGACAATGTACGTAAAGTCCACAGTTACAAACCTTGGTTTTAAGATGGACAGTGATTTTAAACTTGACTGTCAAATAAGGGTCACAGTCAAGTCTGGTTTTTATCATTTGAGAAAATTGTTAAAGGTAAAATCTATTCTTTCAAGGCAACAGTTTGAAACAGTAATCATGCTTTCATTTAATCACAGCTGGATTACCGTAATTCTGTCCATCTCAGAGTCAGCCAGTCCTCACTTACACGTCTGCAGCTGGTGCAAAATGCTGCTGCACGTCTTTTAACAGGAACAAGTAAAAGAGAGCACATCACCCCTGTCCTGACTTCTCTCCACTGGCTGCCCGTGTATTTTAGAGTTCATTTTAAAATTCTTTTGTTTGTTTTTAAGGTTTTAAACAGCTTTGCCCCGCCTTATTTCACAGAGCTTCTCCACCACTGCACTCCCATTCGGTCACTCAGGTCCTCTGACCAGCTGCTTCTGGTCATTCCCAAGAGCAGGGGTGCCAAACTTGCTTACAAAAGGGGGCCTACATTAAAACCTTTTTCCAACTAAGGGCCAATTTCAAAAACCACTCTAACTCAAATCAGATACCCAACATCGTTTCTTGGTTACAGGTTTCTCAACAAGAGTTTGGTTGGTCTCATTTGATGTTCTCTGTTGTGCCTTCAACGTTGTAATCAAAGATTACCGAAAAAATTAAAGATATAGAAGTATGTTACGTTTTACATATTAGCTTGAGGGCCAGATAAGATGTCAACGAGGGCCCCATTTTGCCCCCGGGCCTTGAGTTTGACACATATGCCCAAGAGTAAGAGGAAGCTTAGAAGAGATGGGGCCTTCTCTGTTAGTGCCCCCAAGTTATGGAATGCTCTGCCTTTGCACATTCGACAGGCCCCTTCACTGTCCATGTTTAAAACCTGTCTGAAAACTCATTTCTACTCATTGGCCTTCAACCAAACTGAGATTTGATTTTATTTTGAACTCTGCCTCCTGACATCTGAATAACAATGACGGTCTGTATTCTCATACACCCAACACATGGACTGAAACACCACCACCTGCACTTTCCTCTGTTAGCCCACTACTGTACATACTGTACACATAATCTACTACCTACTATTCATAAGTACTCTCATACTTGTATATATATTTTTTGTTTTATAGTTTGTTTATACCCTTTCATATTTATAACCCGTTCATAGTTTGTACACCCATAACCTGTATATATTTATACTTATTTGTTTGCTAAGCACTTCTGGATGGATGCAAACTGCATTTCGTTGCTTTGTACTTGTGACATGCGCAATGACAATAAAGTTGAATTCTATTCTAATTGCATTCTACTTCATTTTTTATTGATATTGATTTTATCTGTTTAACTCATCATTTTATTGTGTTTTATATTGAGTTTTTAGTTAATTGTGTGCTTGGCTTTGTAGCTTTGTCTTTTATGCTTTCTTTTATCTTATTTATTACTGATCAGTACTTTGTTTCAGCTGTGGCTGGTGTTAAAGTGCTCTATAAATAAAGTTGATGATGATGTTTGTGTTTCTGTAGGAGGCTGGATGAGAAAAGAACTTGGAAAGATGATGATGGTAAACAAAAAGCTCATGTGGACGTTTACTGCTCCTCACCTGGGCTACTGGATGGCGGCACCTTTACCCTCCACCAGAGGCAGGTTTTCACCTTCACTGTGTTGATCATAGAGCACATATGGAGTTTGTAATTATTCATACACACCTTTTAACTCAAATGTTCAACAGGGATGGTTTGAGCAGGGATGCAGGTGGGTGTGGCAAGGTCTAGGCCCACCCACTTTTTGGGCAGTCAAATAACTTTCATTTCATTTTTTTAATTTCTTTTTTTGGTACACGATTATTAAAAAATACTAAAATAAACAAATTGCTTGGCTACAGATTAAATAACCTTACTAAATATTTTTATACTACTTTGGATTTTGAAAACTTATATTATTCATGAACTGACCATACATTACAGATTTAATATATTTGGTGTGTTTTTGATGTTTTTATTTTTATTTTTTATGGCTGCTGTGTTTGAAGCTGGTTCAATTAGTCCAGTAGGAATTATTTGTTAAGTTCTGATGAGGTTCAGGGTTCAGTGGTTCCCAAAGTTAGGCTCAGGACCCCATAGAATCAACATCACACAAATCTCATTTTATTGACTACTGAGTAGACTGTTATGGGTGTCTGCATTGATTATACAAGAAAATAATAACTGAATTTTATTCATCGTCACATTCTTTTACTTCTGACGAGAGAATGCTGCATAAATAATTTTTTTGTCTAACCAAAGCACATTTGATTTTCCTCTGGGCACAAAGTTTTTTTTTTCTTTTTTTTAAACAACCAAATGCAGAAGTCCCTCGTTTATTGCAAGAGTTACGTTCCCCCCCCCCCCCCCCCAACACATACAATAAGTGAAAATCCATGAAGTAATTATGTGATATTTATTTTAGTATTTTTACATATTTTAAGGCTTTAGAAACCCTTCCCACTCTTGCAATGTTCTAAACTCCTAAACCTATGTAATTGAACAACATACTTATATGTAGCTACTAAACTTTACTCACCAGCTCGGCAGCACAGCTGTGACTCTGTTCCGCTTGGTTCTATTTTGATGAAGCTACCCTGCCGGTTCTGGTCGGCTCTCTGGCTCGGGTGGTGGCTGTGGTCTCCAGAGAGAAGCCGGACCTACGGCAACATGTCTCCTGCCCAGGGGTTCTCGCGAGCTGGCTAACAGCTCTCAGGTTTGCCGATGAGTCTGGAGGTCCGGTTCTGCTCTGGTTCTGTGCAGCCCTTGGGCGCTGAAGCACATTTTGTGGGGGGACCAGACCTTCAGGTGGCCGGCGTCCTATTGAGTGGTCCGGTGGAGAATAAAAAAGTCCCGTTGGGCTCCGGAGGGAGCACCGGACCTAAGGCGCCCCCAGCTCGGAAGTCCTCGTGGGCTGGCTAACAGCTCTCAGGTTCACTGATGGGTCTGGGGGTCCGGTTCCTCGTGGGTTTGGTGCGGCACTCTGCATCCGCTGGGCGCCAAAGTCACTGTATGAATAAGGAACAAACTTTTTTGGATCAGATCAAAACTTTCTCTCTAGTATTTCAGTAGAAGGCAATGATGGCTTCTGGGCTGGGCACTGTTGGCTTCTGGGAAATGTAGTCCTTATGAGTGGTGATGCAGTGTAGGCTTACTGAGAGAAAACTACAAAATGGTGGCACCTGTCCGAAGTATTTTATTTTTTCCATTAACTGTTTACTGTACAGAATCCCATACTGTCCCAATCACGAGTGATATTAAAGTTGACAGTCATGTGTTGTGTACTTTTTTCCCCTTGTATTCAATCTTACTTTGAAAAATCGTGAAGTAGCGAGGAATTACTGTAAACTGATTATTTAAACCAAACGTCATCTGATTTGATCCATCAACCCATGCTTTTTTGTTGTTGTTTGAATTGCACATTTTATTCATTGTGTTTTTGTTTTTTCAACCATGTTCTGCAGGTTTTCTTGTCCTCTCCACCCTCATTGACTTTACCTCACTTCATTTCTTTTTTCTGACGATTCTCCTTGGAGGAACGCTCCTTATCATCATCTGTTTTCTGATTGGGATGTTATATTATTGCAGGTACACAATGCTTTTATTCAATTTTAACCATTGCTCAAAATAACATTTTAAAGCTAAATTTCATTATGCCAGGCTCAAATAAGCCTTTTGTCCACAAATATTTATTTTAGTCTTGTTTAATAGCATGCAGCCTGGGTAAAAACTAAGCAGTGCAAGGTTTTAATCTTCTGAATCGATGCTTTGACTTGATGTAGCAGAGCTCGACGCGGAGCATCAGAGCAAGTGAAGGATGATGTTTTTGTTACAAGATGCTCACATGTTTGGTGAAAATGTGTTGTCTTGTTTACAGAAAGCATCCCAGAGGCAATAAAGCCAGAAAGAGCCCAGCAGTGAATAAAAATGATCAAAGCACTTCCACGTGTCACAGTGAGGTCTTTGGGACGTGTTCAGTGGACGCCTCTCATCCAGCAGATGGGCTGAGCCAGAAAAGGATCCAAAAAGAGGAAAGCAGTGATGTGTTGGTTAACCCTGGTGTTGTGGCCGTTTCAGTCGAGTGCCACAAACTGGACTCGGAACAAACTCCGTCTCTAACAGACAGCTTGTTCTTCTACAACCAACCTGTAGCCATTCTTCCTGCTTCAGCGTTCTTCCACCTGGAGGAGGAGCCGGAGCAGAACGAGTGGAGCAAGTCGGCCACTCTGCCCCGGATGGGCCTTTCAACCGGGTCTGCCATGGAGCCGCAGAGGAAAGACGGCTTCACCCAGACCCTGCAGAATGCTCCCTCTGCCCCCCAGAGCCCGGCGGTAGAAACTGAAGACCAGCCTGGAGGTTTGGAAATCTCTCAAGCTGCAAACAGCACATCCAGGGGTTCTTTCAGCCTCCCAGAGTCAGTTTCAGAACCAGGAACGTTAAATAAAATCAGGGTAAGCAGACGTTCTGTCCATACCTTCACAGGTTTATCTAAAATCCCATCACCTCAGCCTCCTCGAGCCTGGTTTGTGTCTCTGGAGGGAAAACCCGCGGCTGAGATCCGTTACGCTGTGTCAGAGCAGCAGAGCAGGCGGAGGCCCATCGACAGCCGAGACACCAGCTTGGACTCTGGGGTGGACATGAGTGAACTGAGACAGACGTCTGGTAGGAGGACCGTAACGCTGGAGAGGAACACCACTTTTGTCAAAAGCACATCCAGTAATAAGGACACACCCCAACAGTAAAAAGTATTTTTATTTTTTCTGTGTAGAGTAGCTCACCTTATCGGACACACAAAGAGTGAAGTTTAGCTTCATGCGAGTGAGCAGAATTAACAAAGTTAACTTTAGCTTCTGTTGGGAGACTTGACAGAAACATTACCCAATGTCTTATTTCTCAGCCTGGTATATATCACAAAACAAGTGACAAATCTGAATTTCATTTTGAAAATAAAATATTGGGATTTTAAGGGGGGGGGGGGGGGGTTAAGACTTTATTGATTACTTTGAAAGTTTTAATGAGTCTTTTTCAGTCACATTGTGCTTTCCTCAACACCCTCACTCCAGTAACAACACATAGGTCAACCAGTCACTTTTTCTTAGAAGTTGCAAGACCCACATTTAAGTAAAAAGTTGATCTGGCTTTGCAGTTGCCCCAAATCACTGGACCAGTTTCCCTCTTCATAGGCTGAGACTTCTGAGGCTTTTAAAGCTAATCGTTTTTTCTTTGCTCTGTGTTTGACTCAAGCAGAATATCCCACTAAACATTAGACGTCGAATGGATGTGCAGATCACGTTTACATTAAGTCCGTCGATCTAGACCAATTCTGGACGTCTCCACGACGTGCAAACAAGGTCCACTCTGGACGTCTAACCATGACCTCACTTGTACGTCGATATAAAGTCGAATGTTTGAACGTCTGACTTGGAGCTCGTATAGACATCCAAAACAGGTGCAGGTGTGCCTTAGTGAATCCTAATTTTTATAACCATAAAATTTACAATCATAATATATAATCATAAAAGAGTAACTGTGCACAGTTACTCTTTTATGATTATATATTTGCACGGCTTCATTCATAAACCAACTGTTGCTATTTTCTCTCGAAGCTATTTCTGTTAATCCAGTAAAGAGGATAAAGGAAAAAATTTAAGGAGTGATTTATTTGTAAAACTTAGTGCATCTGTTTCTAGTGACATTTAAGGAGTGATGATTTAATTGTAAACCTAGTGTCTGTAGTGTGTGGTTTCCTGTTGCACATTAGATGGTCAAATACACTGTTTCTTTAACTTTGTGTGCTGCACAGAGATGGTGCAGCGGCTGAGTTAAATTTTGATGTAGAAAATACGTCTATATTGACCGTCCAGTGGACTTCGGAAAAAGACGTCGTCTGTCGTAACAGTCTGCACCTGCAAAACGACTTGAAAAAGACGTCATTTAGACGTCTCCTTGCTCAGTGGGATGAGATCCAGAAGAGATGACAGCAGATGTTCTGTATTTTATTCTAACTTTTATTTGCTCGTTTAATGTTCCTTGTATTTTGTCGATTTTATTGCTGTTTTAACTTTTTTGTTTAACTTAATTGTAAAGCACTTTGGTTAACGCCTGCTTTTAATGTGCTATGGAAATAAAATTTACTTTTATACTGAGAACTGAGAGAATATATGTACATCGAGGTGACTAGAAGGAAAATGCACGTTTGCATTCCTGAAGACAAGTTTTGAAGGAAACGTCATCCAGAAGATGGCAGCAATGTAATTTATAAGATGCTGCTGATAAACCCACAGGAGAAGACATGATTCCTGCAGATAGTGGAGCAACACATCCAGGCACGTCGCTTCTCTGCAATGTTTCCTCCTTCTGTTGGACAACAACTGCTTTTTGGTGGTGAATGAAGCTCCTCATGTCATTACTAAGAAAGCTGCTTCAAATAGGAGCACGGCTTTACTTTGAACATTTAAAGTGCCTGGAAATCACGGCCTGTTGAGCAAACGCTCATCTATTGTCACTGACAGTCCATGATCAGCAGAGTGATTTAAAAAAAAAAACTTTCATAAATATGGACCAAAGTTCAGATTGGACAAATGACATCACCAACGGCCTGGCATGTTACAAATGAATTACCGGTGTTGTGTTGTGTCAAATGAAAATTTTGACTTTTCAACTGCACCTCATTTTAACTTGTTTTCCTTCAAACCTTTTTTTTTTTTTAAGTATTATTTAACCTTTATTTTACCAGAATAAAACCCCCATGGAGATTTAAAAAAAAGTATTTTTTCAAGGGAGACCTGGCCAAGAGGCAGCAACAAATGCATGAATGCATGCAAAAAAAAATAATAATAACACAGTTTAAAGAAAATGTCAAGCTATAAAAAAACAGGTACATGTCATTGACTTGACTTGGA